AAAATCTCTCAGGAAAGTTAGATTACAAAAATCTCGTATATAGGATAATGCTTTTCCCCTTGCTAACTGTTCCAATGTAACTGAATTTTTTTCACTTAAAACTTGACGTTCACATGTGAAAGAATATGTTAAACTCAAATTCAATGTATCAAAATTCTGAAATTTCGCATATGAAATGAACAATTTCGCTTGTGATCTTTTCCATTTGAACAAAACCATAGCAGCCCAAATTGCATGTAGAATGCACCAAATGTCAATTTATAAATTTATTTATTTATTTACTTATTCAATTATTTATTTATTTATTAAACTTCGCCACTTACAACAAACAAGTGGCGGGGACACCACAACAGTGTACACCAATTACTGTGGGCCCTTTAAAAATTGCTAAATTTTAACAATACAACACAAAACAACATATCGCAAAACAAAACTACATCGCACAGAACAATATTGAATATTACGCAATGCAATGCAATACATAGCAAGAACAAGATTCGACTTGCACCGCCACCGCCACTACCACCACCACTGAAAAATATTATAGTTTATCGAGCTAACCAATTACATGCGCATCAGGTCAGCGAGAGATAGCGGCAGTGGCGGCGAAAGCCAAATCCCAAACTCGCTAAAAACAACAGGAGATTGGACTATCCAGACTTCGAGCCTTGTTGCACTTTAGGCAGATTTCCATCTCCGTGGATTTTCGTGATCATAGATTAGATTTAAATTAGTACGGTAATAATCGAGTAATAAAAATTTAAATTTGACTAAGCTTAAAGATTGATGTCTCAGTTCATCAGGCAGAATGTTCCATATCCTGGTCTATCTGTTGATGAACGAGCGTTGAAATGTCACCGTTCTGCATTTCGTTTCAAGGAGCAAGATGCTTTCTGGGTTGCTCGTGGCTCTTGTTCTTCTCGTTTTCCCAACATTCCTTTCTGGAATAACGTCATCGCTAACACGCACCAGACCATTCATCATCTTGAATAAGAACACGAGGTCTAAATATTCGTGCCAGAAACTAAGCGGTAATAACTTGCTTGCTTTAATCCGATTCTTGTAGTTGGTCTGACAATCGAATGGAAGATTTAGAATAAATTTGGATGCACGGCGCTGAACTCGTTCTGCTCGTTTAATCAGATCGATCGTCTGAGGAGCCCAAATCTGCGTGGCGTAGCCGAGATGAGGTCGTGCAATCGCTAGGAACAGGCATCTTCTTGTTCTGGGGTTTCTTATCTCCTTACATGTTCTCTTGATAAAACCCAAAAGTTTGTTTGCTTTTGAGCTCTGTTCAACAACTTGCTTGTTCCAGGTCAAGTCACTGTCAATCCACACACCAAGGTCTTTCTCCTGCTTCACGGCACCAAGTATTGAGCCATTCATGGCGTATGGATAACTTGAAGGTGTTTTTCTCCTCGTGATGCGCTGACACTTACATTTCGTATCGTTGAACGTCAACCCATTGAGTGCGGCCCAAGAATTGAGGTTGTCGACGTCACTTTGAAGATCAACGCTATCTTGTTGAATTTCAACTCTCTTCAGGACTTTCGTGTCATCAGCAAAACAAGCCACTTTTGATGACAACACAGCCTTGGCTAGATCGTTCACGTATAGTATGAAAAGTACTGGCCCTAAGATCGAGCCCTGTGGAACTCCCGACGTTACCTTTCATGCTTGAGATGTTGCACCAAGTACTGACACTCGTTGTCTTCGGCCATTCAGATAAGAGGTGAGCCAGCTCAGCAAACTACAGGAGATATGAAATTGCCGCAATCTGGAAATGATGAGAGAATGTTGAACCTTATCAAAGGCTTGAGACATATCTAGGTATATCACATCAGTTTGCAAACCAGAATCCAGCAACAAGCCAATGTAGTTGAGAACTTCGACCAATTGGGTGACACAGGATCTTCCGGGAATAAAACCATGTTGCGCTCGGTGTAACATTTGCAAGAGGTGATCCAGTAGACTGACCAGAACACACCGTTCAAGTACTTTTGATATGATGGTTAGCAGGAATATTGGATGATAGTTTCTACATATTCCTTGATACGATTTCTTTCTTGATCACCGGGACAATGTTTGCCAGGTTCCACTCATCTGGAAACACGCTTGAGTGAAGCGACTGATTGTATAGTAAAGTTAGTGATGGTGCAATTTGGTCGGCCGTTTCTTTCAAAAGTCTTGCAGAGATCTCGTCAGGTCCAATTGCTTTAGTAACATCAAGTGAACGAAGGGCAGCGACTACTTCGCAAGGAGAGAGAGAAATTTCAGAAAATTCCGGCCCACTGGTAGGTGGTAATTGTGGGCGAGGTTCGACTGTATCACTGGAGAATATGGATGTAAAGTGATTGTTGAAGGCTTCAGATCAGCAATCTCAACCGGGCTGGAAACTAATTTCCGAACAGGTTTACCAGTGTCCGTGTCGTGGATAGTTGATGGTATTGACACTTGTTGAGGAACACTGCTCGCTTTATTGGAGAGTTTGAAGGCAGACCAGAATCTTTTCGGATTTGACTGAATATCTTGTTCCAGCGACTCAAAATATCTGGCTCGGCTTTCGCTTATCAAACGTTTGACTGCCAACCGTAGTTGAAGACGAACTTCTCAGCTTTTTACGTAACGTTTCCTTCTTTCGAATCATATACAATATATGTCCGGTTATCCATGGTGGTGAGCGCTTGCCTTTTATCTTTCTCAAAGGATTAAAGTTACGTACTACGGCTATATAACTTTCTTTCCATTCCACAGGCAGGCTCTGTTTACATCAGTATTACTTTCCACGATGTTGGAAAAGTCAAAATTCTGCAAATTCACCTTTCTGGTAGTCATAGACATATCTATTCAACTTAACTGGTGCTATCACGGTCGCTTTCACATGGAAGATGAGACAATTGTGGTCCGTGATAACTCCGCTTTCCTGTGGTAGCAGAATGGCATCAATTTGTACTTTCTCTGGCACACTAGTGATGACTAGATCTAAGATACTGTTAGCTCTTGTTGGTTGGTGGTTTACTTGCGACAGAAAATAGTCATTCAAGAGTTCAGTGAATTGAATCTCATCAACACCAGTAGTTTGATCTGGAGAATCCCAAATAATTTTAGGTAGATTAAAGTATCCATAAATGAGAATATCGTCATATCTCGCCGACAAGTAAGCGAGGTACGAATCAAATAGTTGAAACCAATTTCTGTTGGAGTTCGGTGATCTGTAGCAACAGCAACAGCAAATGCACAGTTTAGTTGTTGATATGGTAGTGAGTTCCACGCAAATTAATTCAAGATCACACTTTTCATGGACTATTTCATGGACTGAAGTAGACGAACCCGATTTTACCGCTAATAACATGTCGCGCGCTGCAATCACTCATGCAATCATAATTCGCGGCAGCTAAAAATACCTTTATATATACAGCTATTTCAATTAAGGTTGTCCCCCTAGCAAAGCAGAAAAGTCGAATACGAGCGCGAAAGGCTGCTGGGAGTCGCTAATAAATTCATTCATTTATTAGCGATTCCCAGCAACCTTTAGCGCTCGTATTCGACTTTTCCGCTCTGCTCGGGGGACAACCTTATTTGAAATAGCTGTATACAATTAATTAACATGGACAAGCATTGTGAGTTCGAATCTCAGAGTGAATGCAAATAATTTTCAATTTTTCTCTTTGCTGTGTTTTGGATTTTTCTCGCTTATTTGCTTGTTATGTTGTTAGATACAGAAATTAGATTTGGGAAACAACTGATATGGATGCAACTATATACCTGAAAAATACAAGGAGAAATTCGGCGTTTCGAGCGAAGGCCCTTCGTTTGGAGTTACCAGCCGGCTAGTAACTCCAGACGAAGGGCCCTCGCTCGAAACGTCGAATTTCTCCTTATATTTTCAGGTAGCTGCATCCCTACCAACGAAAGCTTGATTATGATATATTATTGGCACAACCTACACTAGCACAGACAGTAGCTGAATGATACAATATCTCATCATGATTCATCCATTCCAAAACCTGCACATACTACCATGGTGTTCGTATGTTACAACAGAATAGTCACCATACACTTTTGTCAATAACATATGTCTATCCAATGCTTACCCTGGAACATTCACATACCCATTACAATTTAATACCCGAGTAATATTGCATTTGAAAGATTTTGGTTCAATTGCTTCAATTTTGCGCACATTTCCGGCGCGCGCAACGCTTGCACGTTGCGCGCACCACAGACCGTTACTCGAAAGATAATATTTATTTATTTATTTATTTATTAATTAACTCTTATTTAAAAACGGTAGCCCTTCAACACACCTAGGTAGTTGATTTCCAAGGGGCTGTTTAAAATATTTACAAAATATTAAATTAAAAATATACATTATTTACATCACAAGAAATGCAAGAAATGTTGTCAAATAGAAAGATATTTACAGAATAATATAAAGTAACTTAGTTACCATGCAAGAAATATCAAATATAGAAAAATATTTACAGAAGAAAATCACGTATTATTTGCGGTCGAGAGCAGCCTTAAATTGGCCAATTGTCATATTTGTTGCTTTTGCATTATTTGACAAATTGTTCCACGCTATTGCTCCATTATAACTGATACTTTTTTTCATGTAATTTGTTTTTGGCTTTTGTAAAAGAAAATCATTACCGTTGCTGCGTAAATTGTAGTTTTGTTTATTAGCGATTTCGAAGAATTGGTTCATACTTTCTGGTAGCTCACTATACATAAACACTAACTTATTGTTCTCCCATCGATCAGCTAAGGGTTGCCAATTTAATTCCTCAAATATTTCTTTTGTTGCTATTTCATATGGTCTGCCAGTGATGACCCTTGCAGCCCTGTTTTGCATTTTCTGCATTTTGTCGCGCAGATATTCGCTGCAGTTAGTCCAAACAAGGCTACAGTAATCAAAATATGGCAGTATTATCGCGTTGTAAACATTTATCAATGTTCTTTTGGGGCACAACTCTTTATTCGTCTCAGCATACTTATACCTTTAGACATCTTGGATACAGTGGTTTCCACTTGTTTTTTCCACAAAGGTTGATCATCTATAATAATGCCTAATGTTTTCGAATACTTAACACGCCTAATTTTTGTTTCACCTAATTCAATTACAGGGTCAGTTTCAATCTTTGATAGTCTTTGTCGCGAACCAATTATCATGTATTCTGTTTTATCTTTATTTAAAGTCAATTTATTTGCCAATAACCATTGATGAATCTGTTCTAGATCATCATTTAAACGCGTTTGAATGTCCTCTACGTTGGAACCTTTTGTTGTTATATTAGTATCATCTGCGAACATATTCGCAGATGTATACGATAAACAGTTTGGTAGATCGTTTATATATAGGAGAAACAGTAGTGGGCCCAAATTAGATCCTTGGGGTACTCCACAACGTATGGTATGTTGTTGCGACCTAGTTTGTCCGATCTTGCACATTTTGGTTCGATTTGTTAAATTCCTTTGGTATAATTCTTTGCCAAAACTGTTGTTACAATACATAAACTCGATACAGGTAGTCCGAACTGATTACTTCTCAACAGAAAGACGCAAATAAAAAGAATTATACCAATAGTAAGGATACTGAAGCCATGAACATCGAAGCCATACTCGCCATATAAACCACGGTGTATTAACAGATGCCAAGCAGAAACGGTAGTAACTACTCAGGTGAATAAGATGCTTGTGTTGTTACTCTGAGTGTATATCCACACCGGGCAAGCTTGAAAAATATGCCTGGCTACTGTGGGAATCGAACCTACGACCTTTGGAATACCAGCCCAATGCTCTGCCAACTGAGCTACGTGGTCAGGTCGGTTCGGGTAGTATTCCAAAGGTCGTAGGTTCGATTCCCACCGTTGCCAGGCATATTTTTCAAGCCTGCCCGGTGTGGATATACACTCAGAGTTAAACAACACAAGCATCTTATTCATCTGAGTACATTACACCAACACAGCACGTATCACTCCCACAGCCTTTAATCCTCATATCCATTCATTGTTTTTCGGTTTAGTTAATTTTAAAAAAAAATCTCCTGTTGCTTCAGTAGTTCGTCGACCAACAAATCTAATATTAAATTTCCCGTAATTGGTTCTAACTTGAGGTATCGATAAAGTATTTTTAGTTGCTAGTTGTGTTGCTAAACCGAAGTGTCATCCTTATTTATAAATTGAGGTATAATTCAACAAGGTTTTCGTCAACGGAATGATATAGCCCAAATATTCGTGGTTATATCTTCGAAATTGTTTTTTTTTTCATTTTTCAAATTTGGGACCCCAAATGGCCCCGTTCCCCCTCCCCTCTGAAAGACCATTCATGAAATGTTATATCTTCCCCACACCCCTCTGAAAGACCATTCATGAAATGTTATATCATCTTTAACTATGTATATTTGCATGCTACCCGCTGTTAGGAATTCTTCAGCGAACTCATTATTAAGATTCTGGCATAAATTTGGCTGATTCTGTTCTGTTGGCGTTACGTGTAGGTTTGGTGTTTATATAACGAATCGTGGAAATCAAGATTGTTCATATTTGTCGTCATTACAACGTTAATTTTGTGCTCTCTTTATACCATTCTATACTTCGTGTATCTTTGTGTACAACCAAAGGAACTCCAGACGAAGGGCCTTATAGCTCGAAACGTCGAAATTCTCCCGTTATATTTTTCAGGAAGTTGTATTCCTATCAAAACTTGTTCATACTTTAATACACAACTTTATATTCATGAAATGTTTTATTATATATAACTATAGCTATATTTTCAAATGGAAACCACTTTCGTGTTTACGTAGGCATGATGTGTGCATACCCGCTGTTATATCAATTGTTCAGAGAAATAATTATTAAAATTCTCACATAAATTTAATTATTATCTTTTGTGAATTTAATAATTGTTCAGTGATCTGTCTATATATTTGATTCCAAAATCTTGGACATTTGGGACTAAATGGTTTGATTTAACATCATTATAACGTTGGTAAGTATGCAATATCACTTTTTATCATTTTGTTTCAAGTTTAACTTGTGTATTGAGCAACAGACGTTCGCTGCTTTCACAATTTGCTTACTTAATAATGATAATTCCAACACAAAGGCTAAGACGCAACAGTAAATATTCTTAATATATTTTGATCATATGAATATACTATATAGATACTATATATATACTATATATATATATATATATATATATATATATATATATATATATATATATATATATATATATATATATATATATATATATATATAGCTTAAGATTTTGGTTTACGAAACACAAACAGTGCTCAATACCATATAGGGTTGAATTCCTATACGGATGAAACAGACTGTTGTGGTTTTTTGAGGTAAAACGAAAAACTATATATATATATATATATATATATATATATATAAATATATTACAAGTTTTGAAACGTATAGAAAAGAGAGCTAGTGCTCATGCAAGTGCTCAATACATAAAATTTCGTAGAGCGAAAGTAATTACTATTCTTACTTAAAATGTTTTTTAAATGTTCCTAGTTTCACGCATTACTGCGATCATCAGGAGATATTAGGGCCATTTATACAAAAAATATTGATTACCAACAACATAAAATAATAACCCATAACGCGAAAAAATGTGAATATAGGACAGTAAAGTCGTCGACGACCATTGATTTCTATACACCTGAGTGATTAAGACAATTAGAATTTTCAATCGTCTAGCAATAAAGCATTCCAAACAATAATCCGAAGTATAACATTGAAGCATATAAAAATAGTATGAGAAATTAAAATATTACATCTGATTCGCAATTTGCTATCACACCAATATACCGATTATAATACCAGTGTTCTTAGTGTCGTAATGATCTATAAATAAAAAAATTCACGTCCATTCATTGCATAATTACCTTTGTTTTTATAGGTATAGAAATATGTCGAAACTTCTGATCGCAGTGAAAACACGAAATGTTTATGAAGTGAAACGGTTAGTTGATAGTGGTGCTGATGTGAATAGTAAAAATTATTACGATGTCGACAGTGCTCTTCACTTCGCAGCATCATCTGGTTCACTGGAAATTGTCAAATACTTAGTTGAACATGGTGCTGAAGTAAATTTTCATTCCTTTTACTACGCTAGTCCTCTTTACTCTGCAGCATCATTTTGTTCACTGGAAATTGTTAAATATTTAGTTGATCATGGTGCTGATATAAATTGTAAAAATCGTCGCGTTGGTCGTCCTCTTCTTTCTGCAGCATCATCTGGTTCACTGGAAATTGTGAAATACTTAGTTGAACATGGTGCTGAAGTAAATTTTGAGTCCTTTTACAATGGTAGTCCTCTTCACTATGCAGTATCATCTGGTTCACTGAAAATTGTCAAATATTTAGTTGATCATGGTGCTGATGTAAATTGTGAAAATCGTTACGTTAGTCGTCCTCTTCACTCTGCAGTGTCATCTGGTTCACTGGAAATTGTCAAATATTTAGTTGAACATGGTGCAAATATAAACTGTATAAATCAGTTGAATGAACCTGTGATTTACGATGCCGTTAAGTTTGGTTCATTGGAAATGGTTAAATACTTAGTTGAACATGGTGCTGAACTAACAAATGAAGAAAATCTTGACATGTCCACAATTCTACTTCTGGCTTGTGAGGGTGGAAATGCGTTAATTGTTGAATACCTTCTCCAACATGGAGCGATTAAAGACGTGAATAACTGGAAATTGAAATCTCCCTTAAGTATAGCATGCCGGAAAGGTCATACCGCCGTAGTTCAAATATTAATAAAATATAACGTTGATATACGAAAAGAGAAGGAACCATTAATATGTGGTAATAATGAGATCATAAATATGTTGAATGTGGATTTGAAGAAGTCTCTTAAACATCGCGAAAAAATTCAGATTTTGAAAGGAATGGACAACGTACACTTGACAAAGGTAATATTATATATTTTACTGCATGCAGAGCAAAAACGATCTCAAAATCGTCTATTTATTGGTTATTAATGTTGGCTTAAGCGGGAAGATAATGTGGAGTGCACCGTGTTGGCTCGGTAACCGGCTTTTCCCGTTTAAACTAGTACGTGTTTCATACTTTTATTGTGTTTTGTTTCAAGGTTTTAATCACATCATTCGCAAAACTGCTGAATTATATTGCAGGCCCTTGACTTCAAGCCAGGCGATTCAATAATATTAATTGTTTACCTAAAATTTCTCACCAATAGGGCAATGCATTTTTGCTTTCCTTTATCATATTATTAGCATCTAATAATTTACATCAAACAAATTGTTTCCATCTTTCATTATATTCATTTTCAAATCAATGGCTTCAAATGAATCAACAGTACTTCTTTCAGGGGACAGCTGAGTAATCTTTTAACTTGGTTAAATAATATAATTCTGTATCTTTTCATGCTCTAGCGGAGATAATTCTGAATTCGAGACCATATACTCGATGTAGAACTAATTTATTCGCCAGTCATAGTTTTAATAATTTGGATCCTTACACTTCACTTGGTGGAATTAATATTAGAATGTTAGAGTTTGTAATCCAAGTGAGAATATATACATTTTAAGACCTAACCAGGAACGACTGCGAAAAATGCAGCACAAGGTCCTCTGGTAGGAATTGAACCTACGCCCCTGCGATTCCGGTGCAGCCCTCTAACCAGCTGAGCTACAGAGGCCAGCTGTTAAGCTGTAACCGTAAGTTCATGTATATATATGTAATCGAGTGTGCGGGTAGTGATAAGCTGGACTTCAATGATTTGGATTCTTGCACTTCACTTGGTGGAATTAATATGAGAATGTTAGGGTTTGTAATCCAAGTGAGAATATATACATTTTAAGATCTAACCAGGAACGACTGAGAAAAATGCAGCACAATGTCCTTTTGTAGGAATTAAACCTACGGCCCTGCGCTTCCGGTTCAGCGCTCTAACCAACCGGGCTACAGAGGCCAGCTGTTAAGCTGTAACCGTAATTTCATGTATATATATGTAATCGGGTGTGCGGGTTGTGATAAGCTGGACTTCAATGATTTGGATTGTTGCACTTCACTTGGTGGAATTAATATTAGAATGTTAGGGTTTGTAATCCAAGTGAGAATATATACATTTTAAGACCTAACCAGGAACGACTGAGAAAAATGCAGCACAATGTCCTCTGGTAGGAATTAAACCTACGGCCCTGCGCTTCCAGTGCAGCGCTCTAACCAACTGAGCTACAGAGGCCAGCTGTTAAGCTGTAACAGTAAGTTCATGTATATATGGGTAATCGGGTAGCTCAGTTGGGTAGAGTGCTGCACCGGAATCACAGGGCCGTAGGTTCAATTCCTACCAGAGGACCTTGTGCTGCATTTTTCGCAGTCGTTCCTGGTTAGGTCTTAAAATATATATATATTCTCACTTGGATTACAAACTCTAACATTCTAATACTAATTCCACCAAGTGAAGTGCAAGAATCCAAATCATTGAAGTCCACCTTATCACAACCCGCACACCCGATTATCTATATATACATGAACTTACGGTTACAGCTTAACAGCTGGCCTCTGTAGCTCAGTTGGTTAGAGCTCTGCACCGGAATCGCAAGGCCGTAGGTTCAATTCCTACCTGAGGACCTTTTGCTGCATTTTTCGCAGTCGTTCCTCGCTAGGTCTTAAAATGTATATATTCTCACTTGGATTACAAACCCTAACATTCTAATAAGTTTAATAAAATGCTTTTTTCTACCATAGGTGGGACCACCGGTGAAGTATTTTTCACCGCAGACCTCTTTGATGCTTGGGAAAGGTTCAATGGGTACATCTGTATACGTTGGTATCATGGAAGATGGTGCTGAAGTTGCTGTGAAGAGGATCTTAAAACACGAGCTTGAAGATACAGCTAAAAATGAGCTAGAAATTCTAAGTCGAATTGATGCAAGCAAGTCACCATTTATAGTAAGCTATCGAAAATGTTTAAAAGACGCCACTTTTGTGTATATAGTTTTAGATCTCTGCGAAGAAACATTGAAGGAACACGTTTGTACTCAAAGATTGGAATATATGCAAGACCATGGTCCAAGAATGATCAAAGAAATCTTACGCGGAATTGAATTTCTTCACAGTCGAAAAATTTTGCACAGAGATCTCAAACCATCAAATGTCTTGGTTGATCTCGAAGGTCACATAAGATTGGCAGACTTCGGAATAAGTCGTGTTTTGAATGAAGAAGAAACCACAGTTCATACAAGTGCGAAAGGAACCCGAGACTGGATGCCCACCGAAGTTATTGAAGCAATGAATAAAGAAGAGATGGGACGTTTTAAAAAGAAATCCGATGTTCAGGTCGCAGGTATGATCGCTTTCTTCATTTCAACCAAAGGTGAGCATCCTTTTGGTCCTGCACTTGAACGAATGATAAACATCTCAAAAGGATCTCCTGTTAACTTGGATATGCTTCGCGATCTTCAAGTTCGGAAATTTATTTCATGGTTGATCAGTCATAACATTAATGATAGACCTTATGCTGCTGAGGCCTTGGCGGATCCCTTTATGGTCCATGTAACAAATTCTCTAAGGAAAATTATATTACAAAAATCCCGTACATAGCAAAATCCTTTTTCCCTTGCTAACTGCTCAAATGTAAAATTAGAAAGATAATATAAAACTATCCCGCTTGCCAAAACTGTTGCTAAAATACGCAAATTAACCCAACGGATAGTCGGAACTGATTCCCTCTCAACAGAAATACACAAATAAAAGGAATTATGCCAATATTAAGGATACTGAAGTCATGAACATCGAAGCCATATTCGCCATATAAACCACGGTGTATTAAAATTGGAATGCCAAGCAGAAACAGGAGTAACAGTAACAGAATGAATTTCGAGTAATAGATTTCTCTTCCATTAATGTGGATAACTGTCAAAGAAAGACGAGTTTTATATATAGTGCTAATGCAATTTTTATATATGATTGCATTGCTATAATTGTAATTGTAATTGCTACAATAAATTTGTCACACGATTATTTACAGCACAATATTAATGTAAAAGTAATTATGATAAATAATAGATATACACATAAATAATAAGTACATACATAAGATTCATAAATTAAATGTGACTCGACTCCAAAAATAACTATTGAGAGCTAATCGAGTTGGCTGCCCTTTCTTGCATCTATAAACTGCGAAATTTTGTTAGAATTTCAAGACACAAAAAAAACAACAAAGAAATAACTACACTTGGGTAAGGCAAAACCTGAGCAACTATGAAGTGCAGGGGCGTAGGAAGCTTCTAAAAGTTGGGGGGGGCAGGCTTTGAGGGGCACTTTTCGGAAAAAAAGGGCATCTAAAATTTATTTCCCGGAAATGACTGTTGATGCCTCGATGGTATCTGCAGTTACCACAACTGGACAACACAGCTGAGGGTATAAAATGGGGATCTCCAAAAAAATTTTAGGACATACCAAAAAAAATTTTCCGGATATACCACATTTTTTCCTAAATACGAAAAAATTTTTCCGGACATACCCAAAAATCTTCCGGATATATGATACTTTTTCTCGAAAATGAAAAAAAATTTTCGGAAATAACATAGATTCAAGTTTTCAAAAGTGCCCTTTGGGCAAAAAATGCAATCTTAATGAAAATTTTTCACGCAAAAAAGGGCACTTTGCTCCCGGAAAAAGGGCACTTGGCAAAACTTGGGGGGGGGGGTGGCCCCCCTGGCCCCCCTAGCCCCCCGGTTCCTACGTCCCTGAAGGAAGTGCCCAAGAGCACAAATAATTCACAAATCAGATTTCAATTGAAATACTGTAATTAATAAGATTCGAGATACCTTTTCTAGTCTATTTCACGTTTGAAGAAACTAAAACTTTGAAACTTAGGACCAAAGTCCACATACCAATTCGATTGCACATCCTTTGGTGATAACAGCATATATTAAGGAATATAATTTCAATTTTAAAATAATGTAACTCTACTTAATATATAAACAACCTGCAGCTATAAGCTTTATGCTCCAACGTTTTTTTCAAACCGCCATTATACTTGCAAGATCCGTATCAATGTTTCGTGGTCTGCGAGAGAAGAACTACCCGGGTACAGGTCTTATATTCCCCACACGTCTGGGAATGGGATTCCTTCCCATTAATGCTTTTATATCTAAAAAGGTTGTATACATGATAATAGGAGCTACTCCGAGTGACGAACCGTACAAGTAGAGAAAACTCGAACCCACGTTCTTCAGTTTACTAGCCTAATGCTCTACCGACTGAGCTACAGGTCAAGTTGGGAGGCTGGGAGCATGTCGCTGGGATGGACTCCAAGCTTAAGGGTTTTTGATATTTTGAAACTGAATCATACTGAGATTTGAGCTCGAATCTCAGTCGGGCCAAGTAGAGTTTTCTCTACTTTAATGGTTCGTATGGTATAGCGTTCGTCACTCGAACAACCGCTTATCATCATAGGCGTACGGGCACAATTATATTTGGCGGGGGGGGGGGGCGGCAAACAAAATTTGCCCGACTTTTTAAGCTGATGATAAAAAGTGCCCGAATTTTGATAATATGACTTTTTATTTGATTTTACAAATGAATTATCTAAATTTTAACAAGTGCATTCAACATATAAATCGGAAGCCTGGCTAAGAGGTTTCACTTAGAAGAAATAGCTATCTCGTCCATTTCGTCTGCCAAATTTTACCAAAGTATAAATTATTTTAACCATGTCGTTCTTAATAGTTCGGTTAACATATGCTCGTTCAATTTTAATGACAGCAATAGAATTCAAGCGTTCTTCGCCCATTGTCGAGCGGAGGTAGGTTTTCACGCGCCGCAATCCACTGAATGACCTTTCAGTGGTACAAGATGTAGCAGGAATTGATGCTAAAATAGTTGCTGCCTTGTATAATATAGGTAATAAGTCGCATAATCCATCCTGAAACATTTTTTCGACGACGTCTGCTGCAGTTTTCGCCCGAGGATTGGACTCGTCCATGATGGAATTATGATACATATTCTTCTCGACTTCAAGAAGATCCCTATCGACATTGTAAAACTCTGCCACAACATCAAAGCTGTTTTCTAAAAGTTAGTCATTTAGAACAACGTCTCCCAAAGCACGTGCAAGCACTTTGTCGAGAGATAGGTAGAATGTATTGATGCGATGATGCGCCCGCTTTCCAATTAGCACGTGCTCACAGAGGCGACTGGAGACGAGTCAGGGGTTGTCACACACGCAGTATTCGTGAATGTGGATTAACCGATAAGTGCTTGCAAGCGACGGGATGGTTTGTTCCGGGGTGCCATTGCCTCTTTGAATACGAAACGAGATCCCTTGATGTCTTTTTCATTTCATTGGACATGATCTGTGCTCTTTCCCACAAGAGTTCAAAATTCTTTTCGTTGCGACATCAAATTTTCATCGTGAGATCAGCATTTCTTTTTGCAGTGATAACGTCGACGCCTTTCCCTTGTAGATATATAGTTACTTAGACTGCTTGTATTTGATACTATCACCTTCAGAAGAATCAAACCAAATACGAATTCAAAATCACAAATGGCATTCAAAATGGCGACGCTGTCAATGTACGTCTTAGTATTCTTATCATTGCTAAAATGAGAAGAGCTTTGAGCTTTGATAATTTTCGGCATTTGCTCGGTGACTGTTTTTACTGCTTCCCATGTCTGCAGGACCATCTCGCTTCACTCAAAGATTTTAGTGTGAGAACAAGATGATCACCATCTATCTTAACAGAATTAAACACGGCATGGCGTTTTAGACTTACCTCCAAGAAATTATACAGATATTTGTAATGTCCCTAGTGCATTTCAGAGTGGTTGCACATCACTCATAGTGTCTTGCAGTGCCAAGTTAAGCATATGCGCTATTGCATGTTATTATTTAACTATCAGGTTACATAATTCTTTTTTGCCCTAATCTGAGTGAATTCCTTTTCCGAATGGCTTGATTCTCAATCAATGGCTTGATTCTTGATTTTTTTTGGGGGGGCAGTTGCCCCCGACCCCCGCCCCGTACGCCTATGCTTATCATCATTACTGTCCTCCCAAGTTTACTCTCCCACCACAGTTAAGGTTGTATACAGTTTGATATTGTCTTGTCATTACATACTTGTGGAGAAAAATTTAAGTATGAGAAAAAAATATTGCAGTGGTCAAAATGAGAATAAATCCATGCACAGCTATTTCACTAGAGAAAAATGTTTGCGCAGCTTGGCTGAAAAAACAAATTTCCTTCGGAGAGCAATTCTTCCAAGCCCCCCTTCAAAAATCTAATAGTCCGCCCCTAATTTGTTCAAATTTTAGGAAACTTTAAATTAGATCTGGATGCTAATTGGCGAAATTAGATACTTTGCCAAACTCTCTTATAACTTGTTTCATTCTTGTGATATGTAACCAAGGCATTTTTTAATACCATGGAGTGGTGAAGAAAAAAAATCGTCTATTGCCCCAAAGCCAGGGCCCTAGGACCTGTATTGAGTAAACGAGTTTAACATTGAAAAGA